GCAACCGGCGAGGACGAGGACGAGCTCAGCATCCAGCGGATGATCGACCTCGTCGAGCGGATGCGGCGCGCGCGGGAGCGGCAGGCGACGGCCTTCAACGGCGGCTTCGAGTGGCCGCCACGGGGGGCCGAAGGGGAAGCAGAGGAGGTCGACGACAACGACGACGCAGGGAGCAGCACGACGGCGGAGATGGCGAGCGTTGAGTTGGATGGCTGCTGACAGAGGCGGCGGTTTTTTTTTTTACCTTTTTTTCTTTGAGGGGGGAGGGGGTATTTATTTCTGGTTGTGGTTGTAGTTGATGCTTTTGAGAGGTCATTTTTATTTCAATCATGGAGAAAATTTCACCAAAGGAGAAAGGGGAGCCCTCCCTCCGCACCAGACCTCACCAACCTACTCAACATGCGAACTCAATCTTCATTTTTTTTTTGCATAATGGTAGGAACGAATCAATGTCATGGTAGTGATGAAAGACAATTAAGCAATAAGTTTAAGTTGTTGGAATAACGCATTCTTGGTGCGCAATCACCATAAGGCGTTTGCATTTTGTTGGTGAGTTATATTTATTTCCTTTTCTTTATCTTCATTACCCACAAAAAATGTGCGTATAAGTACGTTAACGACAGAAACGGGTTCAAATATTGTTGAATACACTTGTATACTTTAAATAGGGTTAACTGTGGCACGCTCTGCTATTTTAGGCAAACATGATGAGTGATGATTAAGATGCTGTTTGATTTGCTTATGCACTTTTCCGTCCTCACTATTGTCATCACAGCTGTATGTTGGAAATCGAAAAACATTAATTGCCTACTAATGTGTGCATCTACCTAACCTTGAAGCAGATATATTATTTATTTTTTTCCTTTTAATCCGTCCCTGTTCCTTAATGTCAGGATTATTTTTTACTTTGCTTACTGTGTATACATTGGTATAGGAGATATTTTCTAATTCCTCTCCTCCTTCTGAGAAGAAAATCATTACTATTTTCATTATCACTTATCGCTACGAGTTCAAATGACCTAAATGACAAATAATCGGTCGAAAACTATTCTCTATACAGTACTGCTTTTGTTCATGTCAGTTTAGATTCCTTTGACGTATCGTTGTTGGAGTAGGATGTGATGTCGTGGGTAAGTCAGCCTGTTCTAGCTCTTGTGCACTGTCCCCCGAATTCGATGGACTCTACAAAAAAAAAATAAGTACCAATGCAATTCCTGTCTTTTCCACTGACTATTTTTCATAATGATATTTCACTTAGGTGACTGCGAACGGAAGCGAAAATAGGATGCGCCGGTCGTTTAATCTCGGAGTGTGTGTGCAAAACAAGAGCAAAATCATTTGCTCGATTCTCATTCAAATGTACCGAAAACTTATATCTACTGAAGTATGAAAACAGAGGGATGTTGGGCGTCACTCTGGATCCAATGGCTCTTCCTCTCTTTCTCCTTCTTGCTGTTCCTATCCTTATCATGAATTCCTATTTTCTTCATCATTTGTCTGGACATAGGCGATTTTTTCCTAGAGAAGAAATACTGAATAAAACGCCTAAAAAAAATACGTGTGTTTGCACGTGAACCCGTTTCTCTAACGCATTAGCCATGGGGAATGCGGTGGCCACTCAGGAAAAGAAATCTAAGTCTCGCAAGTCTAACCTGAGAAAGGAACCGTACCACATCAAGGAGCTCGATTTAGAACCTAGTGGTGTTGATAGTGATAATAGTAACCTCCTTTCTTGTGAGAAAAAAAAAAAGAAACAGAATATCAGCGCCAAATGGCACCTAGCCTGGAACTTGGCTCTCGCCGTGGAATTGTCAACTTCCTAGACGTTACGCAGGGCTCCATGAATTCCGAAATACCAATCGAGGAGCATCACGTAATTCCCTTTTGCAAGGTCTACAATGGCATCGAATCCGCGGAGAATTCCATCCGAAAGCGAGGGAGCGATGATGACTCTGATAGGATGGGGGGAGTCAAATCGCTTAATAGTATTCTCCAGAAATCTACCCACTCCAGTGGAAGCATGTGTAGCAGGGAGGGTTTCCCAAGGGCACCATGGGCAAGCTCGCATCTTCGAAGTTCAAGCGACGAGATGGGGCGTCGCGGGTGGTGCTCCTTCGCAGATTCGTGTGCGCTGGATGTAGATGATATGTTTAGCCGCGTTCAGTCGATCGTAACACGAATGCGGATTCAAAACATGGAATCCGAAGTCGAAAAACTGTGCGCGAGGTCGGTCGGAGGAGAACAAAGAAAGCGGCCTGTGAGTTCCCATCGACTAATTCCACTCTCGGGTGATCGAAAGAATGCCCTGAAGATTTAATCTATCAATGAAGAAGGTGAAGAGGTGTACGGCTATGAGGAGATGTTATGGGGTCCTTTCGTTTCATTGCCATTCAAATCGTATTTCATTGTTGTCACTCATTTCCCCTTGTCGGTTGTTAAATGATGACGTATAAAGAAAAAGGTGCTTTTTTAAACCCACCTGCTCGCCCCTTACTCATTCGAAATAAGTTGCTTTCGTCTCCTCGAGTTCGCCGCAGAATGTGGCTTCACCGCATCACTTTACATTCGATGCTAATGTTTCATAGTCAGACAAAAAATGACAAGAGGCTAAGCTGTTATAAGATACTTACCTCTTGACGCTTCATTCCCACCTCAACTATCACGATTCCGCTGTATATTACCACGTGTGATATCAGATCCTACTTAGGCAAGGTTTCGGGAGACTTATGGTTAGCTGTGGGGGCATCAAACTTACCCAGTTTAGGGATTTCAGAGTGTTGAAAGCATAATAAAAGGAAAACCATTACTGAAAATTGTTCAAATGTGTGCTTTCTTTTTTATCTCTTAAACAAACGATATATTGTTGCATTTTCGATTATATGTACTTTTTTTTTCCTTTTACCACTGTCACTAACAGTTTTTTATTCTTATTTTTTTATGAATAATTTTTAATGATAGATAAACGCATTTACGGATGTACACACATTGTATATATAAATATATATTTATAATTCTTTATAAATGGAAGCTGATAAAAGCGATTGCTGCAGATATATATATATATTTTTGCGTAAACAAAAATAAACCCAAGGAATTCAATTACTGTTTTTTCCACTATCCGTCTTTGTGCACGATTTAGGTGCAACGACAGTGAACGGGATCAAGTATAAAACGACGACTGGAACATTTTCTTCACTTCTCGCCATCCCTCTTTGTCTCTCTCTCTCTCTCTCTCTCCCTCTGTTTCTGCCGTCTGTAAGGAAGCACTAGAAGTTTAAAAGTTCGTTAATATACGCTGGACGGTATCTTTATTAGGAGCCTCCTTCTTCTTCCGCAACCCACTCTTCCTTTTGGCTCCGGATCTTTTCTTCTTCCCCCCCTAATCTCTCGCACCTCTTTTTTGCTTTTTCTTCCCCTTCCTTCGCAGCCCACTTTCCGATGTTGCGTCGCAGCTGCTCCCTTCTGAAGGTCGCCTGGCGGGCGGTACCGGATCACACCCATTACGACGTCTGCGTGATCGGCGGCGGCCCGGGCGGCATCGCCGCGGCCCTCCGCGCCGTTGATTTCAACAAAAAAGTCTGCCTGATCGAAAGCGACCGGCTGGGCGGGCGGGATCTGTGGAACGGCGCGCTCCACTCCAAGACGATGTGGGAGCTGTCGTACGCCTTCTCGAAGATGCGCGGGGCCGCGGCGCGGCGGCTCTATGGCGATTCCGTGGCCTCCCACGTCCGCCTGGACGAGGCGCAGATGCGGGCCTCCATGGACGAGGTCAGCTGCACCCGGGAGGCCCAAATCGCGACGGCCCTGAAGGCCAGCGACGTCCGCTTCGTGACCGGCCACGCGAGCTTCGTGAGCAACCACGAGGTGTTGTGTCACGACCCCGCCACGAAGGCGTTCCGGCTTCTCACGGCCGACTACGTCGTGATCGCGACGGGGTCGACCCCGCGGCGGCACCCCACCGTCCCCGTCGACGGCGTGCGCATCGTGACCTCCGACCACGTCATGCGGCGGGCGCTGCCGCGGAGTCTGGTCGTCGTCGGCGCGGGCGTCCGCGGCTGTGAGTTCGCCAGCATCCTCGCGGGACTCGGGCAAACCAAGGTCGCGATCATCGATAAAAAGGCTCGGATCCTCCCGGAAGAAGACGATGACGTCATTGACGTCGTGGAACGTCAGATGGAGGCGGCCGGGGTGACCATCCACCACGACTCCAAACTCCACGACCTCCAGCTCTGGGACGATGATGCCGATAACGCGCTGACTGGGGTACAGTACACCCTCATGAATCGATACACGAAGGAGCTCACCACACACCACGTTGATCAGGCCCTCCTTTCGATCGGGCGGTGGCCGAACTACAACAACCTCGGCATCACCAACACCACAGTTAAGACAAGCAACGGCAAGGTCGTCGCGAACGAGTTCGGGCTGTGCGAGAATACAAATAACATCTACGTGGTCGGCGATGCCGCAGCAGGGAAGTTCCTCGTCAGCGTCGCGGAATCGATGGGGAAACTCGCGGTGGAACATATGTACTGCCCGAGGGTGCAGCGCCCGCCGATCCCGTTCAGCATCACCCCGAAGCTCGGCTTCTTCCCGCTCGCGATCGCCTCGGTTGGGCTCGGAGAGAAGAGCTGCCGGGAGCGCAACATCGCCTATATCGCGTGCAAATACGGCTACAACCTCGTCAGCCGCAACGTTGCCGCGGCGAGCACAGATGGGTTCATTAAGATTATCGTCTCTAAGGAGATGCCGCACCATATTTTGGGGCTCCGCGCTGTTGGGTTGGGCTCGAGCACCCTCGTCGACTTCGCGACGCTCGCGCTGCAGAAGAAACAAACCGTCTACGACCTTGCCAACCGCCTGACGGCGTACCCGGCGCTCTCTCAGGCCTTCCAGGAGTGCCTGCACGCCATTCTCGGCTCGTCGGAGCTGAAGCCTGGGACGTTTGATAACATCACTCTCACGGAGTGGACCCCGGATAACTATCAGCGCGGGATGGCCTACCAGGAGACGTTACGCGCGCAGAATGAGGGCAAAGTTACGGAGTTGGATGATTAAAATTAGATGAATATAGCAAGGATATAGTAGGTGCCAAATTCGTTCACCGGTATAAAGGGCGCATCTCTCCTTTCCCCTCCCCTTCCCTCCTCCTTCTTTCTGAAGGAGGGTAAATGTTTAGAGGTGAGGAGGGGGGGGGGAGGAATTCAGCGTGAGAATTCAAAAGGAGGATTCGGCGTGAAGCCGAGGTTAGGTTTGAAAACCTCCATAGGATACCTTCTTTTTCTTCTTTGCCTCTCATGTAGACTTCATGACATCTTCACGCAGCCTTCCATCCTATCCATCGGCCCTGGCAGGAAAACAAGCTAAAGTTCGGAGGGAGAGGAAGGTTTGGAGCTTCCTATGGATAAAAAAGAGATGGTAAATCGAATTGGTCGAAGATAAAGAATTTTGACAGGTCGTGGCTACTCCGTGTGTTGGCCATTCTCTAGGGTAAATGTATTTCATTCGAGGAAAGTAACGGATCAGTTTTGTGGGAGTCTGAACCCTTGATGGAAATAAGGTAGTGTAGGCGAAGCTCTTTAGGAACGTGAAAATTAATGTCAACATCAAAAAGTCGAGCATAATCACTATTATGGTGTCGGTGTGTTAGTGCGTTGTTTCAGTTTTCCTGGCGATTTCGATTCATTCTGCCGTAGGAAGGGATAACTAAAATTGCATTATTGATTTCACGTAAAAAAAAGAAAGGGAAATATATCTATTCAATAGGATGCTTTAAAGCTAAGAGCATCCAATTTCACTAATGACTGTAGATACCATCAAAAGAAACAGGAAAAAATCAGCCTACTGTATTAAAACATCTCTCGACATGCCCTTGTATCAAAGAGCTAATGCTATAAACCAATAGCTCATATAGTGTTTATGAGGGCTACTGTTAAAAATGAAATCCATAAAAAGTTGAAGCAAAGGCATTTTATGCATTTAGTTTATGACGTAAAGTAAAATCAAATTATAATTCACCACGTAGAAATACTACAAAATTTAATTTGTTAATCCCCTATCTATTATCTTGGACTTTCGTTGTACCTATTGAAATGCTTTGACGATATGATTTTTCTTTGAATGACAATTTTCTTTTGTTCCCAATCCTAATGTGCCAACATGCCTCGAGGCATGTCGACTGCGCATAAAATTCCGTCTCCTGAAGCTAACTCTTCCGGAAATAAGGAGTGTATAGCTTAAGAACAGAAAGCAAAAGGAAAAAATGCAAAATTAACCTCACAGCGTTAGAAGCACGAAAAATGAACGTAGACTTAGAACTAATCGCCCGTAAACTATTCTTTAAGGCGCGGCATTGTAACGTGGATGTCTTTCCTACAAGCGCCGCTTATGCCCTTTCACAGGCTGTCGCCTCACTTGGCTATGTACGAACAGACGTTCACTAGCAAATCGCGCACTAGCCTAAGTACAGCTCCTTCTTCAATCTTATGATGGCGAATCCTGCGGAAAATGAACTTGACGAAGGTGAAATCATCTTTTTTGTGTGTGTTAGAATCGAACAAACTTTTCATGTTGCGGCTCATACTGAAGTCGATGCTCCAGTCAATTTATGTGAGGAGATTCACGCTCAATACAGCGATCTCGCACGCCTTTGGGGGCTCGGAGACTACCCATCCATCAGCCGCTATTTATTTCTCGGCGCTTACATCGATTGGGGGGATAGGTCCCTGGAGAGGATATGCCTGCTCATGGCGTGCAAGCTGATCCTTCCTGAAACCTTATCTCCCGCGCGGCAATCATGAAACAAGCAGCGTCCACATTTCATTACTATCATTATTCAAAACTTCAACTGGTAATACACCTTCTTTAGATCGTTCGACATGAATATGCGGCTTTACTCCTGCGTATGTCTTGTATTTGTTTCCATGTAATGGAGGAAGGTCTATTTATTGTACATCAAATCTTTTTGGATATTTTTTCCCATCCTGTTTGATCCACGCGGTGATGGGTTGGATCACTTTGTTACATCACCGCTGCATTTCACCTCCCTCCAGTGTTAAGGTGAGACATTTAACATATTTCAAACAACTTCACTCAGACCAATGTTGCAACTAAACCAAATAGGTTTACTAACCTTGTATGACTAAAAAGAATGCTGGCATGCTTGGGCAGGATTATATACTGCAAATTGCGTGGCAGACGAATGGAGTTCATGTCCTATTCACCGTATCTTGTTTTCCCCTATGTACATTTCCGTATCTAGGTTGAAGGGGTATTAGTAGAAACCCTTATTTTTCCCCTTTTGGATAGGTAGTATCATATTCGTTTCAATCTCTCTTCTTTTTATCGTGCTTTTCACTCCTTGTTATTTGAGTTGTTTGGCGTTTAAGTGTGTATTAACGCTGACATCGCCTCGTCAGCCTTCATTCAGCCGGTAATCCGAAACCAAGAGAACAAAAAAAAAAAGAGTACTTAATTCTAAGCCTCGGTGATGTCTGGTGGAGCCCCGCTTCAGCCCTCGCAGATGCCGCTGCAGCAGGTGCACGAGGTTCAATTTGAGATTTTCAAAGAGCGCCAAATCAAAGACTACTCCGTCTGCCTCATCGAGCACGCGAAGTCTTACGAGCGTGGGGAGCCCGTTCGGGGAGGGATCAACGACCTCCGCATGGGCACCACCGATTTCGATCACAAATGCGAAACCTGCGGGATGCAACACCCCGATTGCCCCGGGCATTTCGGCCACGTCGAGCTCACCGAGCCTCTTTTTAACATCGGTGTGTTCGATCTCGTGTTGAATGTGTTGAAGTGCGTGTGTGCGTACTGTGGGGGCGTGCTCGCGGATTTGAGCGATCCCGTCGTCCGGCAGCAACTCGCGGAGGTGAGTGCGGTGAATCGTGTCCGGCTGCTCGCGCGGATGGCGGGGCGGCGTTGCAAACTTCGCGTCGAGGCCGCCACCGGGGAGGATGGCGGTTGCGGCGCGGAGCAGCCGACGTCGATCGGCCGCTTTCAAGGCCTCTACCCGGGCCTCCAGGTCCGCGCGACGCTGCAGGAGCAGGAGGTGGCGTGGAATGCGGAGACGGTCCGGCAGATCCTCGATCGCGTTTCCGACGCCGACGCCCGCGCGATGGGGTTCGACCCCGCGCGATGCCACCCGAGGGATTTAATCCTCACGGTGCTGCCGATTCCACCGCCGCAGGTGCGCCCGGCGATCGCCTTTGGCTCCGCCAAGTCCGACGACGAACTCACCCACCAAATCATGGCGATTGTGAAGCGAAATATACAGCTTCGAAAGGATAAGGAGGCCGACGCGAAGGACGCGGCGGATCGCTCACGCGCGCTCCTGCAAGAGGCCGTCGCGACCCTCTTCAACAACGCCTCTACCTATTACAAACCGGTGAAGGTGAACGATACGAAGCAGCTGAAGTCCCTTACGGAGCGCCTGAAAGGGAAGTACGGCAGGCTGCGAGGGAATTTGATGGGCAAACGCGTTGACTTCTCCGCGCGAACGGTGATCACGGGGGATCCGAATATCGACGTGGATGAGGTGGGCGTGCCGTTTTCCGTCGCCGCGACCCTCACCTTCCCGGAGCGGGTGAGTGCGATCAACAAGAAGCGGCTAACGGAGTTCGTCCGACGGCGTGGGTACCCCTCCGCGAATTACATCATCCACCCCAACGGCTCCATCACGAAACTCGCCCTGGTGAAGGATCGCGCGAAGGTGAACCTCTGCATCGGCGACGTCGTCGAGCGGCATGTGATCAACGGCGATGTCGTGCTTTTCAACCGCCAGCCGACGCTGCATCGGATGAGTATGATGGGGCATCGCGTGCGGGTGCTTAACTACAACACCTTCCGCCTGAACCTCTCCTGCACGACGCCCTATAACGCGGATTTCGACGGCGATGAGATGAACCTGCACGTCCCGCAAAGTCTGCTAACCAAGGCGGAGTTGATTGAGATTATGATGGCGCCGAAGAATTTCGTTTCGCCGAATAAATCCGCACCGTGTATGGGGATCGTGCAGGATAGCCTACTCGGTAGCTACCGGCTTACCGACAAGGATACCTTTCTCGATAAATACTTCGTGCAGAGCGTCGCGTTGTGGTTGGATCTCTGGGAGCTGCCGGTGCCCGCGATCGTGAAACCGCGACCTTTATGGACGGGCAAGCAGGTCTTTTCGTTTATCCTGCCGGAGGTGAATCATCCGACCTCGCCGTATGAAAAACCCCCTTTTTCGCATAACGATAAGCAGGTGATGATTCAACGTGGGGAGTTGCTCGCGGGGGCGATTACGAAGGGCATCGTCGGCGCCGCGCCGGGCTCGCTCATCCACGTCATCTTCAACGAACGCGGCTCCGATGAGGTCGCGAAGTTCATCAACGGCGTGCAGCGCGTGGCGACGTTTTTCCTGTATTCCTTCGCGTTCTCCGTGGGGATTCAGGATACCGTGGCGGATGCCGATACGCTGCATCAGATGAACGACGTCCTCGAAAAAACGCGAAACGAGGTGGAGAAGATCGGCGCCGCCGCGAACAGCCGGACACTCTCACGCAAAGCGGGCATGACGCTCCTGCAATCCTTCGAGGCGGATGTCAACCGGGAGTTGAATAAATGCCGTGAGGAGGCCGCGAAAAAAGCGCTGAGCAACGTTCGCCGCACGAATAGCTTCAAGGTGATGATTGAAGCAGGGAGTAAAGGAACGGATTTGAATATCTGTCAGATTGCGGTGTTTGTCGGGCAGCAGAACGTTGCGGGGGCGCGCATCCCGTTTGGGTTTCACCGTCGCACACTCCCACATTTCATGCTTGACGACTACGGCGAGAGTTCGCGTGGGATGGCGATGCGAGGTTACGTTGAGGGTCTGAAACCTCACGAGTTTTTCTTCCACACGATGGCTGGGCGAGAAGGGCTTATCGATACCGCGGTAAAAACCTCCGATACCGGTTATTTGCAGCGTAAATTGATAAAAGCGCTGGAGGACGTCCACGCCGCGTACGACGGAACGGTGCGAAATGCTAATGGGGAGTTGATTCAACTCATGTACGGCGAGGATGGCCTTGACGGGGCGCGAATTGAGGGCAATCAGGAGTTCCCTCTGCCGCAACTCAGCGATCAGGAGATGGCGAAGAAGTATCGATACGAGTACAACGAGGATGGCAGCTTCTCTGATAAGATCGGTGGGGATTACATGGATCCGTTTGTCAAGGATACCCTCGTGAAGGACCCGCTCAACGTGCGGATCCTGCAGAGTGAATTCAACCAGCTCATGGAGGACCGCCGCGTCTCGCGCGCGATTCTCGATTTGGAGGAGCGCGCGAAGCTCAAGATGGATCTCCCGGTGAATATCGGCCGTTTGATTCAAAACGCGCGGACGACGATGGGGCGACGGAGCCAGCTTTCCGATTTGAGCCCGATCTCCGTCATCCACAACGTCCGTCAGCTCCAGGAGGACCTCGCGCAGCTCTTCCCGAGCCACAACAAAGGCTTTGCCGGGCGATTTACGAATGAGATCAGCCGTCAACGGGTGGAGCGCGCGCTCGGATTGTTCAGCATCCACCTCCGTCAAACCCTCGGCTCCAAACGCGTCTTGCAGGAGTACAACCTCAGCGGGAAGGCCTTTGAATACCTCCTGAAGGAAATCCGCACGAAGTATCAGCAGGCGTTGATCGCCCCTGGGGAGAATATCGGCGCGATCGCCGCCCAATCCTGCGGTGAGCCCGCCACGCAAATGACGCTGAACACCTTCCACAACGCGGGGATTTCATCGAAGAACGTCACCCTCGGGGTTCCCCGCCTTCTGGAGTTGCTCAACGTCAGCCAAAAACAAAAAAACGCGAGCCTTGTCATCGCTTTGATTCCGAAATGGCAAAAACGCGACGGTGCGCAAAAAGCGCAGCACCTGATCGAATACTGCACACTTGAGAGCATCACGAACACGGTGCAGATCATTTACGATCCCGATCTCCACCACACCGTTGTCGAGGAGGATCAAGATATCATCCGTTGGGAGCAGGCCGTGATGAACAGCGAGGATGACGAGGAAGGGGGGGCCGCCGGGGATCACGTCGAGGGCCCTCCCTCGCCCTTTATCGCCCGTTTAATCCTCGACGATAACGTCTTCAACGACAAACAGCTGAATATGAAACACGTGAAGGCGGCCATCCGGGCCGCCGATGATCGGTTTCGAATTCAGGCGAACATGGAGAACCTCGGGCGTCGCGTCGTTCGGCTGCGGCCGCGCGTCTTGGAAAGCGGCGTCGACTCCGTTCCGACGCTGCTTCGGGAGATCCCGCAACTCCTCGCGCGGGTGCACCTGCTTGGGATCCCGGGAATCAAAAAAACGCTGCTGAAGGAGACCACGGTGAGTCGGGTGGACCCCACCACGGGCGGGTTGACGAGTGGCAAGGCGTGGATGATTGATACCGAAGGGACCGCCCTCCAGCGCGTCTTCGCCGGGGTGCTGGACCGCCAGAACGAAAACCTGGTGGATTTCACGCGGACGAGCAGCAATAAGGTCCCCGAGGTCGCCCAGGTCCTCGGGATTGAGGCGGCGCGGCGAAAATTCCTGGTCGAGCTCCGCGCCGCGTACGTCGCGTATGGGTTGAACATCAACTACCGCCACTACTCCGTGTTGGTGGATACGATTTGCCAGCGCGGGGGGCTGATGGCGGTCTCCCGCAGCGGGCTCCACCGCGGCGCGATGGCCGGCCCCCTCACCCGGGCCTCCTTTGAGGAGACGGTGAAGGTCCTTATGGGGGCCGCGGCGTTCGCCGAGGTCGACCCCGTCCGCGGCGTCTCGGCGACCCTCATCCTGGGCAACCCGGCCCGCGTCGGGACGGGGCTGTTCGACCTCGTCCTCGACCTCCGCGCGCTGCAGCAGGCCGTCCCGCAGGACGACGCGGTCGCGCCCGGGCGGGAGGTCAACGCCTACCACGGCCTCACCTCCGTCGTCCCGGCGAGCACCGCGCTGCCG